GGCTGCTCAGGCGGTTGCTTTGGCATGATGGAAAAGATAGCTGTGAGCTTGGGTTTTAGAAGGCTGGGGACGGCCAGAAGCAAGTTCAGAAGCAATTTAAGAAGTGCTGCTGCCAAACGTAGCCTGGCCAAACTTCTCGCACACTCTTTGTCACGCGTGCCCTCGCTTCTCCCATCCCATAGCCCCCCTCTCGGTAGATAGCTGTTGTTTTACTCCTGCTGCAGGGAATGAAGCAGGGCTCTGAAGAAACGAGAGAGACACCCTACTGACACAAGCCTGCTGCACCCTTTCATCACATCCTGGGCATGTTTGGAAATAGCAGCCTTATGGGAAAGGGGCAACAAATCCCTGCAGTTTTGGCATTGGGCCCTGCCTCCAGCACATTCTGGTCTGGCAAGTTCCAGCCTTCCATCCCTTTAGCCGTGGGTCTTACCTTGTTGTCACTTGCTGCTCAGCCTTCCCTCCCTCCTCGTCCAGCCTGTTCGTTCCTTGTTATCCTGTTTCCCTTCCTAGCTGTGCTTCAGCACCTCCTTTTGTAGCTTTCGTGCGCTCTGCCTTCGAGTTGGACGCGTTTTTTCAGTTGATTTTCCTGGCTGGTAGGAAGGGAGTTACAGGAAGCCTGTCTTGTCCTTAGGTGTTCGATTTTTTTTTGGTTTCTTGGTGGAGGAGGAGGAGGCGATCAGCTTAGTCTGGTAGTGCTGGAATAACCTCTCCAACATGACTCATCCACAGTGCATCCAAGAGAGTTGTTCTTGGGAGAGGGGTTAGTCTTTCCACAGTGATGATGCTTTCTTGAACCCAAAAGGTGTTTTGTGAGACTGACTTGTAAATTGTCGGAGCTGTAACCTGTCAGGTACTGAGCAGACAGAAACAGAGAGTGTTTCAGGGTCTTTCAGGTGAGCCATCTTTGGGCAAGTTTTTATGGAGATAAAAGAAGCACTTTCCTGATGCCAAAAAAACCCAACCTCCCTCCCTTTTCACATTTCAAAACCATTCTTCCAAAAGTAAATAGATGAGGCCTTGACATGTAAAAGGACCAGAATTTAGCATAAGAGAAAAATAACAAATTTACCAGCTTTGGTCTAGAGCTTATCTACTTAATGTTACGTGTACTAATATTGTAAATTAGATTACTGTAACTTGAGAGTAATTGATGGCTTTTCATTACATCAATTCTCTGATAGTAACTACAGATGTCTGCAGATTATGTAAGGACAAAAATACCACACACTTTGGTTGGAAAGGAGTTTCGATGTGTTTTTCTTCTCTCTCTTTTTCTCCTCTTCCCCCATCTTTTTTTTTTTCTTTTTTTTTTTCTTCTTCTGACATTTTGATTATAGGCCTGTGATTACCCAGTGCTTAAACTGAAGATGCTTTTAATATTGAGCTGGGATTTAGTTTAATTCACGCTTTTATGTTTCCCCTCTCGTCTTCTAAACAGATGTGCTCATTCTGCAGGGATCAGGATTCAATCAAATAGTGAGTGTATCATTTTCTCAATTAAGAAAAACAGTATTTTTGAAGTGGTCACCAAATTTGTGATGGAAAAGAACCCTAAAAGGTTTTCCAGAATCTGCCGGAAAGATACATGACTCTTTCAATCTGACAAAAATATCAGTAGCCTTAAAAAGCGAAGGACTTTCTTATAAGAGAGGCTGTGGTGAGGAGTTTCATCAGTCCTTTTCATGATAGGATTGGTATCAGATTGACCTTGTGCTTAGCTGTTACTTCCAGAAGTAGGTGGTGACTGTAGGGAGTTTCAACAAAGATTCTGACTCTCATAATTCTTAGTAGGTTGCCTTTTTTTAATTTAGTTTTTACTGAGTGTATGGACTTCTTGTAGCAGTTCAGCAATATGTAATGTCCTTGTACTTGGATCTGTAGAAACTCCACATAAAAATACCACCATAAAAACTTCAGAACATGGTTTGTATATACAAGACTGTACAAAGTATATTCAGAAAGTTTACTTGGTAACCTCTCTCTCTTTTTCTCTCTCTCTGTCTCTTTCTTTTTTTTTTTTATTTATTTTTTGCCCTTGACAGAGCCAACCGTGCGGGCAGAACTGATGGAACAGGTACCTCATATTGCTATGTTTTGTCAAGAAAACAGACCTTCAATCCCATACGCTTTTTCCAAATACTTACTTCCTATCGTAGTACGATACCTCGCAGACCAGAATAACCAGGTGAGTGTCTTTCAGAAATAGCTAGTTGAAAATACCCAGTGTGCACTTTTGAAGTTAAATAATTTAGGATCATGCAAGTGTTTCATATGTTGAAGTAAATTGGGTTATGAATGACTTCAAATACATTGCACTTTTAACTTAGTTGAAAAATGTTGGATTTCTTTTTTTGTAGCTATGTGGTTTGCTCTGAATTCTGTGTCTGATTAGGGATGCTTTTGTGGTATTACGTTTTTCTATAAAAAACAGTTAAGTTCCTAAGCTCACATGTTATGTTCTTTGTAAATAGATAAATAAAAAGGTAACTATAAAAAAAAAGAATATTTCTTCGTATAATTCCATTTTTAAGGCCATTACTTGCCTGCCTGGCCAACTGTTTGTGTATCAATCCAGCAATTCTGTTTTTGAAAGCTCAGTTTTGCACTGAGCTTTGTATGGTTTATGTCTCTGCATTTCTGAATTGGCTTGCCTAAAGCTTTTTCTGGGCTTTCCCAAGTCATTTCAGTGAATATGGAATAAATTAATCCTCTGTGGTATGTTACTGGAAGGATGTGTATCTTAGGCCTCTGAATTTGAGTCACTTTTGTTCTTGCCCCTTTCCAGGTTTTCAGTATTTAAGAACAAGTACCAAACCCAGGCATATTTTTCAAGTAGTGGTTTTGCTAATTCATTTATAATACAGCCACCATACTTCTGCTTGATGTATAGCTTATATAGTCAATTATTCCGTTCATCCTCTTAACCACTGTTGACATTTCATAGCTCATTTAGATTGTTTGCTTACAAATAGTGATTTCAGAGTGTCTTTTCAAAATTGCTGCATTGCAGAATACAGTCTAGTCCCTCAGCTTATGTAATGTTTTTTCCTTCCAAGATGCATGACCTAGATTTATCAATAAGTTTGTGTAGTACAAATAAGCCTGTATTTTCAAGTTACGTAGCTTGCTCTCCGTAACTCCACCAACTTATGAATCAGATGCTAACTTTAGAATTTATTCCAGATGTTAAGCAGATGCATGACCTTGCATTTGTCACTTCTAAGGATACAGATAATGAATAATACTGAGGTCTAGAAACAATCCCATTGCATAATTCTTACCTCTGCATTACTTTGAGAGCTAGTAGTTAGCCTGTACAAAGTTGATTAAAAATGATTACATCATTTTTGTGTGTATACATATATGTCATGTGAGGTTGAGCAAAATTGTCTTTCATAAGTAAAATATATTCAAAATAAATGCAGTTACTTATCAGTCAGACTCCGTTATCTCAGAAAAAGGAGGTTTGGTAAAACCCATGTTCCATAGCAATGGGTTATTCCCTATTTGCTGTGTAGCTTTTCTTTATGTACTGCATTAGCTTTTCTGTGACTGCTTTTTCTTGACCCAGCTGCACTGTCTTTTAAGAAATATGTAGGCAGACACTTTTTTAATAGCATTGCATTAATTTACAATATGCACATGTTCCTTTATCTTTTTTCCCCCCAAATACAAAATGTTTGAAAAAATAATTTAAGAATGTATGTGCACTCTCTCTCAATCCCATTTGTGTAGGTGTGTGACAGTGTAGAAGTAAAACTTCAAAATGCTAGGACCCGTATTTCTGTCTCTCCCCCTGTTCCCAAGTCTCCTTAAACTCCTCAGCCAAATTTTGTCTTTTTTATCATAGGTAAGAAAAACAAGCCAGGCTGCATTGCTAGTTCTGTTGGAGCAAGAACTCATAGAGAGATACGATGTGGAGACCAAAGTATGTCCTGTTCTCATAGAACTGACAGCTCCAGACAGCAATGATGATGTGAAGACGGAAGCTGTGGCAGTAAGTAAAAGCCATACCAAATTACACAGTCTGAAGTTTATTTGAACTTTATTAATGCTTAAGTGTCTCCAACAACCTCCTCAATGTGGTGTTATTAAAATTTGTATGGCTGTTCATAAGTAATCTGAAGACCTTTCCATGCTGTTTTACAATCAGTCAAGGTTGGATTTGAATTAAATAACTTATGTTTGCCTTGGGGGATAGAAAAAAAATCCCCCTAAAACAACAAAAAAAGAAACCATCTGGACAGGACAGCACAAGAGAAAAATGTTATTTACTGTCAAAGCGCTGCTGTTGGCTTTTTGGTTTTTTGCTTGTTTGTTTATTACTGGTGGGATTTATATCGAATGCATGGAAAATTTCCATCAGTGGAAGTTCCTTAAAGCTTGAGCGTTATTGGCCTGTGCTTTGTATCTGTTCCCTTTATTGATTTTTTTCTTTAATATTTAATTGAAAAATGTAATGAGCAGCTTGTTTTCCTTAAGTACAATTTTGGTAACTCTGGATTCTGGGCATGGTTTTCACATTTTTCAATAAAATGAATATATATCGGAATGCAAAGTAAATGTAAAAATCCTCTGTGTAATCCTCTGTAAAACTGACTTGACATTGTGTTGCGCGGGCATTCCTAACCAGTGTCTGTCTTGCCATTAGATAATGTGCAAAATGGCCTCTATGGTGGGAAAGGACATCACAGAAAGACTTGTTCTGCCTAGGTTTTGTGAGATGTGCTGTGACTGCAGAATGTTTCATGTTCGTAAGGTATGAATTATCACTGTCTGGTTCAGATCAGCTGTGTTAGAAGTGTCATCAGCTTAAAACTTGCATATGTCTGAAGTGTTTTTTTTCCTCTTGGCTGTTATCTGTGGCAACTGTAAAGTGAAAGATGTGGGGTTTCTCTGTGGCTCACATTTCCGCAGATTTTATATTTGATGCTGAGCTGTGGTCTGTAGTCCGTGCTCTTATTTTTTTTAGAAAGCTCTTTGTCCTTATGGTTGTTGAGGTAGCTGTGAAAATGTACACCACCCGTAACTGATAGAATATCAGCTACTTGAGCTCGTTGCTCTGTGTACAGATGTAAAGATTGTCATTAAGATGAAATAAGCTATTAGGCCATCATGGAATTTAGGTGTTGTGTGCTGTGTTTTCATGGTGCTATTCATTGCGAACCTTATTACCTCTAAAATATTTGTGGTGTTTCATTTGACAGCACTTTTAATGTGTTTTATCCTCCTTGCCTTTCCCCTAGTTGTTGGGGTGGTTCCTTCATGATTAAAAAACGCTGATAAAGCATTAAAGATCAAAAAAAAAAAAAAAAGTTCATTGATCGTAGAAGATTTTGGAATAAGGAAGTGGCTAATTCTGAGTTAGCCCCAGAAATTACTTTGTTTGGCTTGAAAAGATGTTTATGTTTTCCTTTGACTTTGTTTGCTTTTGTAAAACTATGTTCTTAGCAGTTTATTTCTTGCTTTTTCTCTACAAGGTATGTGCAGCCAATTTTGGAGATATCTGCAGTGTGGTTGGGCAGCAAGCCACTGAAGAAATGCTGGTAAGCAGTTTCTTACAAGATTCTTTTTTAATACAAGTCAGTAATGGGTTTGCACAAGGGTAGAGAGAAGGGCTGCTAAAATGATAACGGCTACATTCCCCTAACTAGGCAAGACAAAAACGCTGGGATTCTTCAATTTGGTACAAATACGTTCAATTTTGGTTACAGTGGAGCTTACAAAATCTTGTAGAAGACTAAAGTGAATGCAGAACTCTAAGTCGCACAAACTGGAGCTAGTGGGTGTTCAGTCCTGGAGCTAGGAGAGTGCTCTCTGATAGGTATAATGTTATTGCATTCATATTGTTTATGTCCCATTTATTTATTTTTTAAATGAATAGGTGAGGAATTTTCTGACTATTCTTCAGACTGGTGCACATTCTTGCCTGTATCCATAAGTCATATGAGGGCAACTAATTAAAAGGGTGGTGCTGTTGAATGTGTGTTCTTTGTCTTGTAAGTGTTAAACTAATGTGTATGTGACTGACAGCAGGGAACTTGATGAAGGAAATGAATGTGAGAAAAGCACTTGCCTTGGAACAAGTGCTACCTGTTAAGACTTGCAGACTTACTCACTGTGTTCTGAACAGCTGCCGAGGTTTTTCCAACTCTGTTCTGATAACGTGTGGGGAGTTCGGAAAGCCTGTGCCGAGTGCTTCATGGCTGGGTATGGAGAACATAACTTGTTTCATGTACCTGATGGAAGATTATTGTCAGAATGATAGGTTTGTCAGTATGCAGAAGGGTTTCATGACGTCGTTGCACACAAAAACAAAACAAATATCTGTGTCACTGGGACAGCTTTTCTTAGCTTAAAATTGCCTGTAACTTAACATTACTGAAAGTTATCAAAATAAGTGAAAATTAGATATGATTTATTTATCCTTCTTTAGATTCTCTACCACCTCCTTTGCTTGCCTTGAAAGTCTTTTTTTTAAACACTATCTTTATTAGTAAGCATCCTGCTTCCCAGAACGGAAAGATAGTTGCATAGGCAAATTTGTGCTCTTGAATGCTGCAAAGTCATGTAGGTCAGAATCTAGCAGAATTAATCAGAAATAGAAATGGTTTCTTTGGTTGCAGCCTGTGCTTTATGTGTAGTTTGTATGTGTTTATGTAGTTTGTGTGGTTGACTGTCTCCAGGGATATCTCTGTTCTTGCTTTCTACAGTAGACTCATGACCCTTCTGTATTCTAATAGCATTATTCATGTCCATTAGGACACAGCAGTATTTATGTGATTTGTTTTTAATGGGACCCCTTCCACTAGGTCCGCCAAGCTGCCTTTCAGTCTCTGGGACCTTTCATATCAACTTTTGCTAACCCATCCAGCAGTGGCCAGTATTTTAAAGAAGAAGATGGTAAAAACCCAGAGGATCTTGGTTCTGCACAGGAAAATGGGTAAGGGATTTAACAATTTTGCAGATTTTTTTCCCTCCCTATGTGAATGACAACTTAAAAAAAAAAAAAAAAGTCAGTTTTCCCATATAAATTGACTCTCTTGGTAACTTCAAGAAAAAAAAAAAGACAAGAACTTTGTCTTACTAAAAGGACTGCTATAATTTTCAGTGATGTAGTGAAAATGCAGGACTATGCAGTAATTTAGGATATATGCTGTGAGCAAATCTAGTTCCATAAATAAAAAGCTCATAGCACGAGTATGAACTTTCACAAACATCTATGTTTTTGACTTGTATATATTCTGTATGCTTGCCTTCTAAATGGTCTGTTTGCTTTTGTGTTCCACAGTGAACAGATCAGGACTGCAGAAGAAGTCACAACAGAGGATGAGCACAATAGGACAGAGGATCCGTCTTTGCATGTCAGTAATGACAAATTTGCACCAGAACTTGACAATGCCATGGAAGATCAAAATTCAATGACACAGAGCTCCCAGAGGGAAACGGATTTCCAGTCTGAGTCATCCTTTCATTGCACTTCAGAGCCTTGTGGGAAAATGGCTGATGAGAACGAGCGAGGCTCTCACCATTGCACAGCGGGACTGCAGGAGACTGGTGTGAGTTCACAAGAAACCTCTCTCTCAGAGCAGGAATTATATAACTCTTTCCATTTCTGGAGGACTCCACTTCCTGAAATAGATATTGACTTGGAGCTTCTGCAGACTTCTGAGATAATACTCAACAGAGAAATTCAGGAACTCACTATGCCAGTGTCCTCAAACATTCCCATGGCAACAAGGAAGGAGTTGGAAGAAATGATAGAAAATTTGGAACCCCATATAGATGATCCAGATGTTAAAGGTATAGTAAAGATTCTGAAGCATTTTTAATATTTGGAAATTCACATGTGCTTCTTTAGCAGTTTGAGCTTCAACTTTTGGCTTTCTTAACAGCAGGCAATGAAAGTACTTTCTCCTGGTCCCCAGAGAGATTATATCTGCTTTGATTTGATTGAGGAAAAGTGATGATGAACCAAAAGAGAACTTGTATTTTGGCAAAGCTTTTAAAAAGTAGTATGATTCTTTCCATAAAGAATCATGTTGGGTGCACATGCAATTTGGTCAGACTTTAGTGTGTAAACTTCTGACAGCCTGTGTTGATGCTATAATCATACAGGTGGTTCAATGGTGTAAGCTTTCTTTGAATTCTTTTTTTTTTTTTTTTCTTCTGACAAATGATTCAAACTGAGTTGTTGAAGTAAGTGTAGATTGTAAAACCATTGTAAAACCCTTTGAGGCGTGGAGAAGGGCCTTGCCAGAATAGCTGATGGAGGAGTACCTCAGCGACACATCCTGGGCTGTTTCATACTTACCTACAGGCACAATGTTTGTCTTGGCACTCATGCTGTGTAGGTTTTTAGGCACCTCAAGCTCAAGGGTGGCAGACACGAAGTCAGAGTTACTGTTGAGGAAGAGAGCAGTATTATTCGAGGGCTGGAGAATCGAAAATGGAAAGCAAATTTCTGTAGCAGAAAATAGCAGGAAGAAAAAATGAGTGAAGTGTTGAAAATGGGCATTTTGGAATAAAATGATACTGCTTTGAACTTTTCTTTACTCTGTTAGCTGGATGATATGCTAAAAGCATCATAAATCTATACAGGATGCCTCTAGTTAATCCCTTGTAAAATCAGCAGGTAAAACTCTTAACTTTTGTCTCGAGTACTGTGTGAGCACTCTTTCTCCCAAAGGAATGAGATGATAATAAATGTCAGTTTTGCTCATGATGCCACTATTCAAATTCAGAGTCTCTGAAACCTACTGTGAAAACTCTCATTGCAATTCATGTTTGTCTCTAAAACCTTGTTCTGTCCATATCTTTAATATTTTGAGGGGAGGTTTTTAAAGGGTAGTATTCGTACATCCAGACCTGTTCTGTGTGGTTGTTTGTTTTGCGTGTGTCAGTGTTTTGTTTCAGAGCAGTTATTTTGCTGCTCTTTCAGTGGGTGTAAAGAGGTTCTCTGGGCTGTTGTTGACTTATGTGTGCATTTCGGTTCAAGAAAACTGCCCTTATCTTGCCAGTGCCATGAATTCCAAGTGCCTGCAAGAAACTAGGAAAGATTTGAAAGGTTTGCCAGTACCATTTGATTTGTGTGGTTGGGGGGGGGTGTTTAATTACTCAATCACCTTTATTTTCCCTCCAAAACCTTTACCTTGGCTAAGCCTGCGTACTGAATGAAGCCCTATGTAACACGCACCATGAGCCTGTACTCGCTGCCTGGCTGCTTGTTTTGTTTTTTTTCTCCTTGGCTGTTCATTTTTCCTGTTGAAATACTTGAGGTGCAGGGACTTTGCAACAAGCCCGTGTTGCTTAGGTGGTGTTCCACTCCATTTAATCCAAAATCTCCAGGTCCACAGCCACTTAATGGGCTACCCAGCGAGAAGGCTGCAGTGTTGTTGACTGCCTGCCTGGCTTTCCCAGCCCTGGGACAGGTGGAGCAGAGACCTGCTCTGCTGCAGAGCTCTTGCAGCTGCAGGTCTTCTCTTCCTATAGCAGGTGGGACAGACACCCCTAGTGCTCATCAGCTGAGGTGGGGAGGGAGTTAGCAAAAGTGAGGCTTGGGGATGACACTGCAGCATGTGACATTATGCACATGTCAGTAAGGTTAAGCTTGTCTGAACAACTTAACTCTTGCCTCTTTTAATGTCTCAGAATTTGATTTTGCAACTTGAGCATGCTCATCGTAACGTGTTTTGTTTTAGAAAGTATTTTCCACATTAAAGACAAAATGATACTGTGTTGTGAGAAACCCTAGTGGTCTGCCTTACTGGCAGGACTTCAAAATGGTAAGGCTGGATTTTGATGACAGCATTTGGGATTAGCTGGTGATGGTAATAAACTCTTATCTTTTGTGGCACAGTCAGTAGAGGTTGGTGATTGCCCTCTTGCCAGCTGCTGTCTCAGAGAGTCCCTGGAAGGACTGGGGAAGGTTTGGAACTGGAGTTCAGCTGGTATCATGTGGCAAATACCGTATCTGTGCACTCTTATCTCCTTCTCCATAGGTATTTCCAGTCCTGGTTACTTCTCTTGCTTTAATATCCCTTCCTGTCTGGCTTCTGCTGTTCCTCTTGTTCATAAGTCTCCGATCTCACCCTTTTGTGTTGTGCTGAGTTGCTTCGTTCCTCACTTTCTTGCATGTGTTGTGGTAGATTTATTAAGAACTGATAGCTAGGTGATATAGATATGTGTGGGAGATGCAGATACATAAAGAAAGATAGGTAGAGACAGCAGAAGCAGAGAGCTAGGGGTACCTCCGTAAGCCCTGGCAAAGGGGAGGAGCAGGGAATCATTGCCAACCTGTGCAGCCCAGAGCACTGTCTGCTCGGCGCATACCTAAGTCTTGCAGGTGCCTTTTTCTGAGAACCAGAATATTCCAGGTAAAGTGTGTTTTTAAAATTTAAAAACTCCTAAATGTTATTTTAAGATACAAGTACAGTAAGCAACAAAATAAATAATTCCTTGCTGAAGAATGCTTTCCACCTAAAGCAGAAGTCAAAGGAAATATAGAGCTAATATGGCTTAAAATCTAGCAAAGCATTGCCTGTATTAAGGCTATACGGAGGATCTGTGGAAGATGGGGAGGAGCAGCAACTTTGGGGAATGTGTGCGCGTGCACACACACACACGCGCACACACACATAATGGCTGTGTATTTGGCATTCTGCCTGGGACTTGAAGGTATCTAAGGACATTCATTTTTTTGGAGAATGGCTACATTGGAGTAACCCTTGGTGACAGGAGCCATGGAGGAGCAACTGAAGTCAGAAGGCATTTGCCAGTAAATGATACCCTGAGAGCTCAGGATAAAGCTGTCTTGTTTTCCATCCCCATGTCTTGGGGTTGTAGAGATGCCAAGAAGCTGAGGAGATGCATGTTTGGGTCCTATCTCCTTGAGGGCAGACCTAGGAAAGCAGGCTCCATGTGGCCTCCATCCCATTAAGATGAAAAAGCCTGGAAATGGCCTGCTTAAGGTGTCCATGCTAGAAGTAGGACATTCCTGGGCAAAGCATCTTGAAAATTCCCACATACTACAGTACAGGTGAATTAAAATAATTTTACAACAGGAGAATGTCGTATATTTTATTAGAAACTTGACACAGTTATGGAGCCAGCCTTCTCGGTTGAAAATGTTCATTTTTACTTCTGTTAATCAGACTGCACCCAGAGACCAGTTAACCTGCAGGGTGTTTCATGAGCTAGCTAAGGTTGTGCTGAGTTTCAATTTTGTTTCTTGGAGTTGGGTATACTGCATATCTGTTTCTGCTATCTACAAGTGAGTCTAACTATAAGCAGCTTTTCCCCTTTTATTCTAATACTTGTTAGTAACTCCTTTAAAAAGGCTAGAGGGTAACATTCCTATTCTATAACTGAGCATGGCAAAGTGAGATTAAAAATGCAAATACATTGTTTTCCATTTGATTTCACAATTTCCCATTTGAGAAACCTTGGAAAAGCGATTCGTCTCTGAGGAGCAGAACTTCTGGATGGCTGAAGTAAATTGTACGAGTCAGAAAATTGCTTCTTGCCGTCTCGGAAAGAAGTGCAGGGGGAGTAAATCATTTTGCACTGAATTCACTTAGCTTGCAGCTAAGATTGCCTCTGATACCTGATCTGCTTAGATCAGGCCGTACCCAAGGTAAATCGCTCCACACAGCTCTTTTTAATTAGCAGGAAGCAGAGCAGTCTCAAAACCGCTGGACTTTTTTCAAGAGAGTAGATGGCAGTGCACACATGAAGAGCTAGTTCTTTAGATGAGTAAGAAGAGATCAAGTAGCGCAGGCTTCATTATTCATGTGGAGGATGCAAGGAGTATAAAGTGTCCTGCCTGTAAAGGAGTTATTTCAGTCTAGGACCTTACTACATAAATCTTGCTTTAAAGTTCCCGTGAAATGTTTTAATAACCATAGAGATGGACACGTAGATGCATCTACTGAAATTTCCAGCTGCTTCCTGTATGAATAAACCTGTTCTCAATCTTTACTTGAATTACTTTCTCCTTCACTTTTTTCCCCCCACTCCTGCAGAAGACTGTCAGTAAGTTAGTGTTCACATGTTCCATTCCACAGACGTTTGCAGCAGTGCTCTTACTCCTGGCTTTCCTGCTTTA